ACTGGGTTGCCCTGCACGTGCGCCGCGGGAGACAAGAAGTTACAGTTCGCGGCACCTGTAATTGGCTGTCCCAGAGGCGAGTCGAGACTTGTAATCACGTGACCTTATCGTGGCATGGCACAGGAGCTGGAAGGCGCTACTGGGTCACTAGAGGTAAACCTTTTTTTAAGTTTGTCACTGCTATTTTCCAGATCACCGCATAGGTAGGAAATTTACGTGTCTCACGTTGTAAGAGTGGGAAGGCGGGGGAGGGGTGATGCCACTGCTACAAATGTCATTAGTCATTACAGCTTCTTAATACGAAGTCAACTCTTTCTTGGGCCGCCAACTAATGGTCTGTGTTGTCAGTCATTGTGCACTGATTTGGTCTCTGAAAGTGCTTACTGACACAGAGACAAATTCCCCGTTGTTCACTGATGGCCAACATGTGGATCGTGTTTGAGCCACTTGGTATTACCGACCGAAGCCCAAAACAACAACAACCTTACCTTACTCCGTGTTTATCAGCCCGGCCTATAGTATTTCAATCCCCTTATGGCGCTAGTCTGTCTCTGAGGGCGCCGTTTCCGAGGCCGGATGTAAGCCGTGTGCGGTTGTGTCAGCGACTTCCGTCCAGGGTGACTGCGACACTTAAAAAGTTCTTTTGAGCGCATGGTCCCGGTCTGCGTAGCCCAATGGCAGCTGCTTCTGTTGTTGCCAACAGACGCTGTCAAAGCAATTTTGAATAACTGGAATGTGCCTTATAGATCACTTGGAAAGTCTGGCTGGCATCCATGTGCGCTAAAATAGAACTATTAGTGCTCTTGACCATTCTCTAACCATGACGAAAGGTGATCTCGTGCTCTCTTGGACAGACTCCGGCTCGTGTGACGAATACATTCTGCACCACATGAGCAGCTAAATGAGTATACGCACATAAACGTGGTCTGTGTTAGGAGTCTGGCTTAACCGAATGCCAGCATAACGTTGCAGGCCCTCCGGAGGCGTCGTGACTGTGGCCAATTGCCACAAAGAGTCCTTTGTCAATGCTGCAAGGACTTGGGTCTTCGCTGTGACTGTCCCCACGCGATGACCTTAAACAGCAGGACCGGACGCGCACATACGTGCGCACACGCACGCGTGCCCAACTAGTCGCATTTCCTCAAGGGCCACTTAGGTGCGCCACACGGCAGGTGATTAAATGCCAACGCACCCAATCATCCCACAAGCAAGCGTGCTTGACAATCATTGATAAGCAACTGTAACAGCTCAGACTGATTTGCAACGCGGACTGACAAGGACACAGCCAGTCCATCTCGTGACCGGACTTCGCCCCGCGGCCTAGACATTCGGCTCTGGATAATGCCAGCGGCACAATGGCTACCCGAGACAGCAACTCCGGGTTTTTTACGCATCAACTCTCCTCCAGGTGGCTTCCACTTTTACACCCTTCTACCTTGGAGATTCTAA